CACCACAAGTTTGATTAAAACTCTCTCCTTTAGATATAGTGACGGTTTGAATTGAGACTACTCTATTTAAATATATTTATTATTTATTAATAAATCATTAAACGAGAGAATATAAACTGAAATTGACAAATAACATCCAACTCGCTTAAAAAACAATAAATAATTAAACCACCTTGTGGAGGTTCTGATTTTGGTTTTTACATTTCGGCTCAAACAATTTTCTTATTTAAACATACAGGGCTCAAACTTAGACATTTTTTCAACCTTCATAGCCTCCTCGAATTATTGATCACTTTTATATTATTAGTCTAATATAATTGAATACAGTTGTGTTTGCAATAATTATTTTGAATCTATGATCTCTTCCCAGGTGGCCACTTGATTGGCCACACACGTTATCGGAAGAGTCTTTCCAGTGGGTGACCTACACGTGGGCATGGCTCAATAATAGCACTTAAAAAAAACAATTAACACATCAATTATTTGATTTATATTTATATTTTACCCCTCTCTTAACTCCACATTTTTATATATGAAAACCATAAAAAACAAAATACTAAGATAGCGTATAATGGAAGAGAGAGTCCATCCACGCGTCAGATATTAAACAGTATTCACTATCCATTCAATATATAATATATAATTGCCTATTTGACCCAAAAAAATTGCATAATTGCCTATATATATAGAACTAATGTGACTGTGAGTACGCATATATATTGCAATTTAATTTCAGAACGATAACTTATATTCATATCATGGACGGCAAAAACCGACTTATTGGTCATCATGATGATCAGATTGTGACTTTGAAATTGTCACTTTGTCAGGGGATGATGTGGATGATGCAAATCAATTCTTCATTTTTGGATTAAGTCCTAATCGTAATTAGCACGCGAGTTATCTCTTTCTCTTAATTATCATTTCTTTGCTAATGATGATGAGTTAATAATAAGCTTTCAATCCGAGTCATACCCAGAAAAAAAGTTTAAAAATAACTTTGCACATTCAATCATTACATGTATTCACTAATGAACACATGAAGAAACTCTTATCTATATCTGATCAAAAACAGAAGTAGATAAACATACTTACTACATCACTTCTGTTTATATATCCCCAGATGCGATATAAAAAGTCTTTCAAAACAGACATAAAAAGGCATTTATTATTGTGGGTTCAGTTGTAAAATACATTTTTGGAAAAGTTATTTTTCTTTAAATTAGATGATATATTGAATCTAAAACGACATTACATGATATGAAATTCATTAATTATTAAAACAAAGCATTATTAGTTATGTGGTATGTGGCCATGGTTAATCAACGAGTATATATGATGATAATGAAGATGTGAAAAAAAAAACACGGCAGAATATTCCCTAACTTTATTTCATACATATTCTTCATAATAATGCACCCCTATTCCTCATCATTACTAATTTTTTATTCTATCTTTCAAGGAAAAAAACTGCCAAGCTCTTATGCAAACATATGCATGTACACATACAAAGTTACAAGCATATCTGAATATATATAAATATTATCCAGGTACCTACAAGTTTGAATTGATATAATAAAAAAGTTGACTTGGAAAATAATTAAATAAAGCAATAATTGGTGCATAATATATATGTCATAATTTGATTGATTACCGAGTTTGACGTGCGTGGATCATATGAATTAATTTGATTAGATTCGAGCCATCAGTGATAGGAAGGCGTTGCCAAATATCATATTTAATTTCCAGATGTACATGTTGGAAATTTCCTGCTCCAATTCCACCATATCTATAACTTTAAAACTACGGCCTTCTAGTTCTCCTATCATGAGATTACAGGTTAGGTTTTAATTATAAAAAGGGCTTACAAGTTGCAACAACCTAGGCAATATTGATACCATAGTTAGATAATTAATCTATGAATATTATAGGAATTAGTTAAATTAGTTATCAGTGTGTCTTGATTTTCTAAAACTGTTTTCTTTAATAATATGTATTATAATTACTTCTTAATTGCGACCCTCCTGATATGTGCAAAAAATAGGAATTTTGGGCAAAAAATTATAAATTTGATAGGCAAAGTAGATTGATGTCATATGTTTAAGATCAAAATGAACCTTCTGTTTAGCTCTTATATATACTTAGAACGGGAGGTAGTATCATTTTTCCCAAAAAAAAAAAAATTTAGCGACAACCAATAAAATTTTTTCAAGAAAACTAGGTTTAATATTAAACATAACTATTCGTATTTTCTTGACTGATCTAGAAATAAAGTGGATAATGAGGATTTAGTTTTTGAAATAAAATATCGGGAAAACAGTTTTTATTTTTGGCTTCAGAGTTGTAATCAACCAAGGTCTTTGCAATTTTTCCTTAAAGAATCCATCTTGATAATTATTATTATAAACTTTAATTTAATCAAGGTCCCTAGAAATAAAACGTCGTTAATGGGGTAATTATGAGCTGAGGATATGGCAATGATGTTTAGTAATTAGTAAGACTTTGATTAAAAAAAAAACAAAACCACAATTTCAGGGATTGACAAAAACTCTAGGGACTAGAAACAATGTTTTTCCTAAAATATATGATGTTAGATAAATTGTCATTTGTTGCACAGAACTCAAGAGAGAGGTACTACTAAATCTTATTCGCAATTTATTTTATACGTAGAGTATGGATAACCATAAATTTTATATTTTATATTAATATTTATTACGGAGAGATGATCGATCCCATAATTTGTGTTAAAGTAGGTTTTTGTTTGGAGATGAGAGCAAGATTTGCAGAATTTCTTTTATTGATCACACAATTAGTTAAGGAACGCAGAAAAATCCAGCCAGGCAGCCACAAAGGAGGTATAAACATCAACATAGGAGAAACAAAGCTGTTTGTTTGTCTCTCAACAACCCGTACATAAGGAGAAGCATCGCTGATTTAGCGCAAAACATGAACATGCTTGAAAACTTAGGAAATATATGATACGAAGAAGAAGGAATCATGATTGTTCTGTTTTCATGTTAATCATTTGCTTCATTCATAAGTTCATTTTTCCTCCAAAAGTCAATGCCTCTTTTAATTTATTGATTTCTATAGAGATTATCCAATCCACATAAAAATGTGCGCCTGAATCCATGTATGCTTTCTTGCATCGAGTGAAAAAGTAGTAGAAAACAGTTGGATTGAGTGGTAAAAGATTCAATACATTTTATGATGAAGGATTAACGTGAAAACCTACCCGTAAAATATTCTTTCATGTGCACCTAATTAATACTATAAGTTTTTCTAAAGTGCAAAAGCAATAAAGGTTCCAAATCAATGACTAATCTTCTCGTACTGTAGACTTCCCAAACGAACTTTAGCATTGGCCATATCTTCTCTTCATTTTCTTTCTTCTCATCTTCTTTCCTCCAAATTTTTTCCCGAGCCCATCCAGAGAAAGGGAAAGATAAATTATGAGTTCAATGTAAAAAAATAACTTTGCTATGCTAATTTATATCAGTTAACTTGAAAAGTCCCCCAAAGGAAAAAAACGATGACAATTTTATAAATGAATCTGATGTTTATGGGCTTGCTACGTCCGTAAAACCAACGTAACTATGCGGTTTGATTAATAAACAATGTAGATAATCTCTTAATCCAATTAGATATTATGGATGCATACCAAGAAAACTAGATATTATGGATAATATATTTTGTTTTAAATTTTGTATTACATGTACGAATGATTGTTTATTTCTTTTAAAAAATTTATAAATTTTCAAAATTCATTTTTATATTTATTTTTTAGTAGCGATAATTTACTAAATATATGACAAGAATTCCTCTGTTTATAATATACTTTTATTGTCCAAAAATATGCATTACTCTTGTTATGTTTCACCTGATTAACGTTTCAAAAAATTAGTTCATAAATATGTTCAGTAAGTATTATGTTATGATTAAATCACATGACCTTCCTTACTAAGTATAAGGTTCAATTTTGGTATTAGGCTTCTCTTCTCTATCATTCTCATCCACTTCCTCTCCACTCCCAATTTTCATCATTAAATTGAAATTTGAGCGGTTTACATTTAATTTTATTTTTATTGCAGTTGTAAAAATTTCATGAGTAAAGTATAGAAATTCAAAATTATTCATTTTTTTAAATAATTTGATATTTTATTAGTAATTTAAAAAGAGACTAAATTTGGCCTGATCAAATTTCAATATAATGATGAAGATGGTTCACGGAGGGACGGAGGGAGGCATATTATTTGCTACGCACAGGTATCCCACTAAAAACAATTATATTTGAGACACTTTTGAATACTAAATATGAGTATTTCTTCCAATAGAGATTCAAACTTTGATTTGCCATATTGTAAAGAATTAACCCCTTTCACTATACTTAAAGTTTGGTTATTTTAATTTTGAAGTGCACTCGTAATTTTTTTTATTTTGGGGTTGAGCCTAAGATATATACTACCTTCGGTCCTAATTATAAGACCCAATTGACTAATTTGGGGAGATTAAGAAACTTAGTTAAATTAATTATTTGTAATGAATAGGTGTTGTTTTTTCTAAAATATCTTTGCTAGTCAAGTTTGTTATCTAAAACTACTATTATTAGAAGGATTATGATGGAAAAAAGTGGATAAATATAAGAGATAAAGTAGACTGGGGTCTTATATTTAGGATCAAAATAAAAGTCAAACGGGATCTTATAATAAGGATTGAAAGTAGTATTAATTGTTAGTAGTAGTAACTAATCCCCTCATGCTATAGACTTCACAAAGGGGATTTGGTGCTGATCACGAGACTTTTTTTATACACACCACCAATGATCGAACCTTTAATTAGATATTTTAAGAAGTCCAACTAAGTGCCACCTATAGTAGGCCTTGCGATTATACTTGCAAGTTTACTATGGATGAAGATTAAATGTTTTACTATGCTAGGCTTCATCATTAAGGACCCGTTTAGTTCAATTCATGCATACTTAGAGATGCTAATGCAATGCAATGCGATGCAATGCTTATTATGATCAATATGTTTGGTATGTCATTAAGAAGATTAAGCAAAAAAGTTATTTTTTTTTATATTTAATCAAAATGAAAAGTCTATAATACCCATCAATATATTAAACAAGAAAAAAATCATTTATTGCTAGGTTCATTATATTTCCAAGGGACGTGATAGTGATAGCGGTGAAAGGGGTGGAGGCAGCAGTCGTAGTGGTTGTGATGGTTGTAGTGGTGATAATGATGATGATGGTGAACGTGGTGGTTGTCGGGGCAATGGTAATGACGGTGGTTGTGGCGGTAGCAATAGTAGGGAGGTGAATGTGATAGTGAATGTGGTGGTTGTTGAGGCCAATGGCAATAGCAAGCAAAGTGACAAGCGTAGCGGTTGTGATGGCTATGGTGGTCGTGGCAACGGGAGTGGCAATGGTTATAGTTGTGGTGATGGCAGCGGCAATTGTGATAGTGGCAAAAAGGGTGGTTGTGGCAGCAGCAATGGTGATAGGGACGGTGGGTGGAATGAGACAATAAAAACAAAGAAAAATGGGACTAAAGGGCAAATTAGACTTTTTCAAATATACAATAAGTGTTAATTGGCATTCATGGGAGGAGGTATGAAAGGGGATTGTCAATTTTTTGGTAATCATCATCATTATGATAAAACCTATTATCATACTAAAGTGCAACCAAACACCCTCCATTTGGTAATGCAATCATGATTACCAATGCATGTATGCAATGGAATTGAACCAAACTAAGCTCTAAATTTTGATTAGTAGGCCTGAGACGGAATGACATGATAGATGGGCAGAAGCCCAATTAATTACCTTCATAGTGGACATGTTAAAGCCCAGATACACACCATCATGGGCCTTGCTGGCCTTTTCATTCTTAAAACGGGCCTCCTTTAACTTCATCTCCCCAGAAAATACAAAAAAAAGAAACACTTCTTGAAGACTTTTTGTTTTTGGGGGGTGCATTCTTCAAAACTCTAATTCTAATGTGGCATGGCTGATAAGGAGAAATGAAAATGAAAACTTTAAAGTTGGACCGTCAATCGTTTATGTTTCTTCTGCCAAACTGGACCTCGCGCACGTCTTTATTTGCAATTCCATCTATGTCTATCATTTTGTGACCAGCCACACAACCACACCCACACGCACAAAATCAGTGCTCACCGTTTACATCTAGCTCGTTCACTGAATTCAGTTTCGCTGTTTTCCCCCATTGGGTGAAGACACTGTAACTTTTACTATTCAATTTTTTTTTTATGTTTAGAAAAAATTAAGAATTAAGATGTAATTTTAACAATAAAGTTGACCCTAAATGGTGCTAGGCACTATAAATTTTATTTAAGGGTATCTAGAACTATGTCGTTAGCGTCCGTTAGTGGGACTCACGAAGTCAGTTAGATACATTTTTAACAATGAAATTCATATAAGGAGATAATAGGCATCATAAAATTTACTTGGGTATAAAAATATATATGAACTTTCTAAAAAGAAAAAATTAACAAAATTCATCAATTCCTATAAATATCAGTGAACTTTATTCGTTTGGATTTCACCAAATGTCACATTTTTTTCCATTCATTCCCACTTCCAAGTCTGTTTATCTTTTTATTATCATAATAAACACGTAAACTCTCTTGTCTTGTTGTTTTCTCAACCCCAAGCCTTTTTTATGTATTTACTCAAGACAATGTATTTTTCTTTTTCTTCTAGGATATGAGATTTATTACTTATACCCAAGTGCTACCTCATGTCTTTAATAGATAACACAGTTGACTAATTTGAAAAGATTACAGAAATTAAATAAATTACTATAAAAATGTTGTATTTATTCTTTTTTTAAAAAAATTAATTTGGTTGGCTTATAAACTAATATATTAATCGAAAGATGCATATAAGTATTTTAAAGATATCATATAATATATGCTACAATTAAGTAATTGTTTTACTTCTTTAATGTTTTACAAATTAGTCCATTATACTTAGGAGAGAAGCAAGTGGAAATGAGAGAAGAAAAAATGTAGTATTTGGTAGGACCTAAAAGAATAAAGTTAACTAACATTTATGAGAGTTAATGAATTTTATTATTTTTTTCCTTTTAAAATGTTCATATATATTTTTATACCCAAGTAAATATTATGATGCTTAGTGTCTCTTGATGTAAATTTTACTATTAAAAATACACTTTAAAATTGATTTCATGAGTCCAATTAATGGTAAACTAACGGACGTTAACGGTATGATGATAGATGTCCCCTTTTGACAACTTCATGTATATTTTTGCACTCAAGTAAACTTTATAGTGCCCTGCGCCCTTTACGGTAAACTTTGTTGTTAAAATTTTACCTTAACTCAAAAATTAATCTCCTTATTAGAATCATAAAAATGATATTGTAATGGCAAAAATATCTCTAGAGTAAACGTATATATAGATTAATCACTTTTTTATTTTACATAATTTAAGCGCATACACGCATACAGATGCTTTGATGCATGTCAGGATTGAATCTGAGACCTCATCTAACTATATCAGACGGTGCTGCCACTGAGCAACATGCTATAGCTCCCCTCTCTTTTCTCTCACGTATACACACAAGCACACACACGCAACAGTCTTGCAAAAAGGGTAACAAATTAAAAGGTTAATACAATGTTTGAACCTTATAATTTGTAAATTATAGGTTTTCATATGTGAAGAGGCAACATGATTTGGGTTTTTATTAAATATAAGGACTAATATTTTAAACAGAAAAAAATTTGAAGAATTAAAACCAAATAAAATGAGGGCCCACCGTAAAGACCAAATAATGTATTAACCCTAAATTAAATATGATTCCCCATGTATATGAATCACTCTCATTTGATGGGCTCGTGACTAGGGTTACTGACTCTCTTGTGAGCAGTAACGATTTTTCTTTCACAACTTGTTTGATAAATAATATATATAGTATCCGATTTGAAAGAATCCACACGGGCAGCCCCAACCAAACACACACACACACATTATTGTTTTATCTACGTCCGCCGCCATGAACGATAATAATAAGAAAATTACAATAATACGAATATATATAAGTGCAACTTGCAAATTCATTATTATATGTTTCCACTGAGTCAGATCATACAGAGACAGAGACATAGCTTAAACGATCGAGAATCTCATCATCACTACAATTAGAAAGCAAGCAACCATAGACATAGATAGAACTCAAACTAAAATTAGAAATTGCAATTACAGTTACGATTAATTCCAATAGCGATAACACAATACCTCAGTGTAAGCATTACTAAATACTGAGTTAGCATTAGTAGTAATAGTAAGCACTTAGCACTGAGCCAAACAGAAACAGTTAAAACGCCAAGGCACCTACAAATATGAATGAAACAGGACCATTAAATAAGAACCTAACGCTCTTAATTAAGCGCATTGGAAATCTTTGGGAGTGTTTTTCTCGCAGGCATTGAGAAGCAAGCTGAGAGAAATAGGGATGTTAATGTGAATGCCAAGAATGTTAGCTTTAATGGCAGTACAGAGACAAACAGCAACCTCAAGATCCACGAGCCCTTCAAGCAGTGAGCAGCATGGGTGGTCTGGTGGGGACCCCACCACTGCTCCAACTGGTCCGTTCAGAATGTTCGCACACACTCCTAGCTTCAGTGCATCTCTGGGACAGCTCTTCACTGGACTAGGGTTATACCTTGGCTTAGGCTGCGTACAAGTGTAGCAGCCACTTGAAGTTGCCACGAAGAAGAGAAGAAGATTGATGCAGAGAAAGAGAGCGAGTGTTGAAGGTCTAGAAGACTCCATTTTCACCCCTCAAGAAGTTACTTAGCAAAAATTGGGGCTAAATGAAGGAGTGATTAGGGATTACTAATCCGAGTATTTATAGGGGTTTGAGGTAAATAATGATGTTTGGTTTTGATGGGACTTACGTTAATTAAGGTATGTCACATGCTTTTGTGTTTGAGGCATCGTCGTCCATGTAAAAAACGACGAAGCTGTCGTCGACTTTTAGCTGGCAAAGCCTGTGGTTTTAAAGTTTTTAACATAAAGAAAAGTAAGGGGTTTTTCACTTTCCAATAGGAAATTAATAATTTCATTGGTAATTAATTGTTATTCAGAAGAAATGATGAGTGCTTGTCAGTTTCAATGTTTTGTGGATAATAAATTAATAATATTTGTGTGTTGACCAATGGATCACGAGGCAGTCCCGTGAACTTCTTTTGCATAATATATTCGCTGCTAAACAGCCTGTGAGATTTCCACTATTGAAGCCCAACAGCATGTGATATTTTGACCCTAAAGTATGCCTTACCCTTGTCAACCCTTCAGTCCAATTCACATAAATGTTTTCTCACCTTTTTTTTTTTAATATCTTTTGGTAATGACAGGATTACAAAACCAGGCCCATAAAGCTAACTAGTGATCAGAACAGAGACAATTTCTTTAATAAGGATTTTTTGATTAGTTTTTTGGAAATAATTTTACATAATTTGAAGAAAAAAAATTTATCTTACTTCGCATGAAAGTGCTTCCAAGAAATTGAAACAAACACTCCTTAATTCCAAGAAGCCATGTACTTTAACCGAGGACCGAGGCTGCCCAGGTGATATTAGAGCACAAGAAGTTGAAAGGGCAACAAAAAGAGAACGAGTGGGGTATTCATTGAAGAATGGATCACAACGCAGGGAATGAGGAGGTGAGAAGCACACACTGGGAGGAAAGACGATTCCACGATATCCATATCTTAGCGCCTCCTTGAGTAATATATTACGTCTTGTTATTAATATAAAATCTAATTAGCTAATTTAAAAAAATTAATAAATTTATTAAATTATTTAATCATAACATATGTTATATGATCTTTCTAAAATACTTGTGTGTATTATTAGATTATACTACTTCCAGTCCTTTATATATCACTAGTTAATTAATTTGAGTAGATTAAGAAAATTTGTTAATTAGTTATTTATAATAAATAGGTGTTGTTTTTTTATAGAATATTCTTACTAATCAGGGGTATTAGCTAAAACTATTATTTGATGAAACTTTTGACATATGCAACTACTATAAAAACTATTTTGGAAAAAATAGATAAATATGAGAAACAAAGTGAATTGGAGTTTTATATTGAGGATCATATTGAATGTTAAACTAGCTCTTATATTAAAGACTAAAGGTAGTATATCAATTTATAGGTGAGACAAATTAGTTTAAAAAAAATAATAGATATAAATAGTTTAAAGTAATTTAATAACTTCTTTAACTTTTCCAAATCAGTTAATTGGGTCTTATATTAAGGACTAGAGATAGCGGCTTCTTTTCTTAATTAGCTCATAATTAATTGTATTTTCTTAACACCAGTAACATCTTATAGTCTGTAATTTTTTTAGAGCATCCAACTTTGATTTACCTACAAGATGCCCTAATTAGCATGTGGTTGCAAGGGGCTTGAAACGTCTGACATCCAAGCGGACCCAATTCATGATACGCCACTTCTCATTGACAATATAATAAAAGTACTACAATATAAAAGCTAAATAATTAATTTGGATAGATTAAAAAAATTACTTAAACTAGTCGTTTATAATAAATAAGTATTGATTTTTGTATAATACTCTTTCTACTCATGGCCATTATTGTAACTATCCGATCCTGTAATGGAATATGTGCAAACAAAGTGGATACCTTAAGAAAAAGGATTATAAATTTGAGAGATACAATGAATTGAGATCTTAAATATAAGACCATAGTAACCCCTTATTTGTATATTTAAGACCGGAGGCAGTATCCATTAAGGTTACCTTAATGCCATAAGTTGCCTAATCTGATACAGTATACACGGAGATATGTAGAAGGACAAGCATTGGGTAGCTTTAATTTATAGCAATCTTATAGGTGTATCAGTTGATGTTTTATACTGCATATAATATTTATTTTGATTCCTAATTGACATTATATTGTTGAACAATCTTAATTAGGGAAAGAATTTTCTCACAGAGTTGGGACACTCTAATTAAGGAATCAATCACTACACCAATGAAGCCAAAGCATGTTCCTCAAGTGTCTAGCAAAGGTGTAATGATTGTAACGGACAAGCTGTGGCTTCATTACTACCTCCAGTCTTTAACATAAGAGCCACTTAACTTATTTGAATAGATTAAAAAAAAATTAGTTAAGTTAGTTATTTGTAACAAATATAAGTCGATTTTCCTAAAGCAACCCTTTTAATCATAATCACCCTTAAATGGCAACCTCTTGACATGCGTAATTAATGAGGATATTTTAGAGAATAAATTACGAATTTTAGAAACAAAGTAAATTGAAATCTTATATTTTAGAACCAAATTCAATCATCAACTAGAAACAAAATAAATTGAAGTTTTATATTAAGGGGGTCAGAGGTAGTACATAGGATGACCCATTGCAATCATATGCTGATTATACATCCGTTTGCTAAATCATAGTTCATTGACTTTGCTCTGCAGATATTGTTGCCTATTGGTGCTTATAGGACAAGCGATTAACCTAAATAGTCATGGAAAGAGGCTATTACTTGAGGAACTCAGATGCTAAGGTGGGAATACCGTGTAGCTGTCCTTCACGGTAGGGCTAACAATGCATGTCTGCCCCATGCCTACCTTCTTCCACTTTCATCCATTGCTCAATGAAAAACTAGAGCTCTCCTAATTGCATCTGCACTTGATTTTCCCTCTTCCATGATCAGCCTCTTAAGCATCTATAACACAACCAACAACCTTTGAGTAATAGTTCCAAACATATACATACACACACATATATCTATAGGCTAAAGTATACATTTGGTCCTTTAACTTTATATAAGGTTTCAATTTGGTCCCTTAACTTTAAAAATCTTACATTTGGTCCTTTAATCCTAAAATTATTAGGCTTCAATGATGATTTTTTTAACAATCATGAATATTTTAAAAATTAAACTTAATATGTTAGCATTTGAGAATATTTTATCAACATTTAAGATCTCAATTTCATTATTTTTTTTTAAAAAAATTTAGGGTTAAAGGATTAAAAGTATATTTTTTAAAGTTAAGGGACCAAATTGAAATTTTGTGCAAAATTATAAGACCAAATATATCATTTAGCCTCTCTCTCTCTCTCTCTCTCTCTCTATATATATATATATATCATTATTGTTAAACTCACAATTGACTGTTTGATTTTAATGTTTTTATATTTTTAGCATATAAAATCATGTCAATTCACTCTTAAACTCATACTAATCCATAAACTCTATTGAACTTATGAGTTCACTCATCAAGTTTACTATTTTTATATTTTTAGCTTATTAAATCGTGTTAACTCGTGTTAAAATTTTTGACTTAGCTATGTTTATTGACTTTATATATTAATTTCATAATTTTTTTTGAATATGTTAAATTAGGAATGCTGATGGATTTAATTTCAATTATTTAGATTTAAAATATATTTAAATGAAATTATTTTCATTTTTATATTTTGATTATTTAATTATATATTTTTAATATCACTTTATTAATAAAAATACGAGTTTATTATTTGAATTTGCAATCCAAGTTCATATTCCTATCATGAGTTTGTTTAAATTCTTGAGTTTGACAAACTTGTATAAGAGGAGAAATGGATTTCGGTTTCATTGCCTCGACTCAAATCCATGAGTTTGTTTAAATTCTTGAGTTTAACAAACTTGTATAAGAGGAGAAATGGATTTCGGTTTCATTGCCTTGACTCAAATCCATGAGTTTGTTTAAATTTTTGAGTTTGACAAACTTGTATAAGAGAAGAAATGAATTTCGGTTTCATTGCCTCGACTCAAACAGAGTTTGTTTAAATTCTTGAGTTTGACAAACTTGTATAAGAGGAGAAATGGATTTCGGTTTCATTGCCATGATTTGAGTCGAGGCAATGAAACCGAAATCCATTTCTCCTCTTATACAAGTTTGTCAAACTCAAGAATTTAAACAAACTCATGATAGGAATATGAACTCGGATTGCAAATTCAAATAATAAACTCGTATTTTTATTAATAAAGTGATATTAAAAATATATAATTAAATGCTCACCGGATTATGTTGTTGAAAGCTCACCGGATTACTATATATATATAGAGCTGATCAAAGGATTAACGCTGTTTCCATTTTGTGATGGTAACTGAATATATTGTTGGATGTTTCAATGCACTTATCGCGGACCAAGGATACAATTTATTTTTAGCTAATAGCTTTTATGAACACATGAGATGAGATATGGTCTACATTCATAATTAATGTTGCAAGATACAAGTTAAGTGATATATTTGTATTAAATAATTGAAATATACATGCATATTACTTACTCAAGGTTAATGTATATTTGAATATATTGGTGATTATGGATACAAAGATTCTTTCATTTTATTGAAAAACTAAAGAAGAATCTTTCACCTAATTGAATTTATTAGATTCATGAATATTGAGGAAAACCAAGAATGAACGGCCAAACTAATACTCTTTTGGTCTTAAATATATGACCTAAAAACTAATACTCCTCCAGTCTTAAATATATAAAAATGGTTCTAAATATAAAATATATTTATCATATTTATTAATTTTTTAAAAAAATTATCCCTATTGATACTCACTCAATTATAATCAAGTAGGAGAGAGAGAGGATATTGAAAAAAAAAATATGATTATGGTATTTTCCTTATAATTAACTAACTTACTTAACTTTTTTAATCTAATTAAATTGGCTAAATAGATATTACATTTCTAGAGGAATATTGTACAATCTGACGTGGACTAAATATTAATATGTACTACTTTCGGTCCTAAATATAAGAGTTAGTTGACTAAGTTAAGTA